CCGACAAATTCGAGAAACACCAGGAATGATAGAGAGAGTAACCAGATGAATGACAAGACGCGTGCAGGCTTGTCTTCAAATGCAACGTGGTCATTTCGAGCATCTTTTGTAAAAGTAATTAAAACAGAAAATTCATTATATCTAACAGATAGGACATTTATTTATATGACTTTTTTTCATTATTTTTATTTCCTTTTACATAGACATTTTTCGAAAGCATATACTTTGAGAAAATGTAAAGAAAAAAGAAATTGATTTTTGTAAGCCGAATTACCAGGATACCCCGTTAAAGATTCGTTCTATATTTTTTTATTTAGACCTTCTCGGTTGTCAATATGATTTCGAAAACACCGTGTAAGAGGACAAAAGTTTAACTGAATCAGTTAAACTATTAAATTTATAATAGGAACATTTGCCCTCCGTTCGATGTGTATTTCAATTTGCTTGATTTTAATCACGCATCGCTCGATGAATTTTCAAGCCTAAATTCCGCAGTTAACTGGTTAATATGAAATATTGAAAACTGAATGGCTCCTTTTGAAATTTTCGAACGGGAGTGTATAGACAGGGGGGAAAACTCGAGGCATCGCTTCGGTTTCCATCCCGAGTATCGTTTCAATATGGCGGGCAGATGGCGGGAACGGCGCGTTCCGCGAAATATTATCCGACTATGTAATATGCAAATCGACGGCCGAACGCGACGCACACCGGCTGTCCTGTTGGAAATTACCGATGGAAATCTCGTTTGGCGTCTAGCTACTTAATGAGTAGATACGTGATTCCCTGAATCCTCTTCCTCCGGGCCTCGAAATTCGAAACGTTTGCTCCCGATAAACTTGCAGTCTGATGCGCCGCGTTGCCTACTCTACGCAAATTTACCCTGATTAGCCGCGGATTGTGAACGAGATATGGAGATCTTGATGGGGCTTCGTGATTCTAGACCGAGGATTGCCGAAGAATCGTGCATGAAAGGGGGAGGATACATCGTAGAAGTGGAGTGAATTCAGTCGTAATAATCAAGTTTTGAAGACATCGCAGGCTAATAAACATAAACAAATAAAATAGAGAAATGTAACATATCAGTGAAAGTATTATCTTTCATTCGTAATATGATACATTTTATCTGAATTGTCTATGAATCACGAAGGAGTTTAGTGATTCTCAATGAGGGTTATTGAAGAGTTTATGTGCATTGATGGAGTATATTATGTATCTCGTGGATTTAGCGATAATACCTGAGATTTAAAGACATTGGAAATTAATAAAATAGACAAACGAAGAAAAATATAATATACTGAATAATGTAGAAAATATAATAATCTATCTCTATCTATAATATAGAAAAATATAATATACTATACTACTATTATATACTATACTGTTACTATTATATACTATATAACATACTATTAATATTTTTCATTCATAATATGGCACAAATTTTGTCCTAATTGTTTAAGAAATTATCGCGAAGAAATTTAGTGATTCTGAATGAGGAGTGCATGAAAAATCGTGTGTGTATGGTATAGAATGTAAAATACGTATGATGAAATATTATATATATGGATTTAGTGATAATACCTGAGAGTCAAAAACATTGGAAATTAATAAAATGAACGGATGAAGCAGGAAAATATAATATACTAGCAAAATTGCAACATTTTTCATTCGTAACATGGTGCAGTTTATCCTAATTGTCTCATAGTTGAATCGTGAAGGATATGGAGATTTTGATGAGGTTTAGTTATTCTACATGAGGATTACTAAAGAATTATGTGCATGATACAGAGTATAGAACATGCGCGGTATTCTGTTCAATTAATCACGCGATTAATTATCTCGTCCCTGCTGACTCGATTGTTTATTCTACTTTTAATTTTAACATCCGTGAGATGATAATAACTCTCCCTGCTTCTGATCGCAAATTTTTCTTCACACTGAAAATATAAAATCCGGTATGACGGAAATCTCCACCTGAAAGAAATCGGAATTCAGACCCAGGCGTCTGAATTCCGATCCTTCCTCTTCAAACATTCCTTCCGCGGTTTCTCGCCGGCCCGCGAAAAACCATCACTCGGAATGAGTGGGACAGCGTGCTCAATCTCGCGTGAACGTTCAATCGCGAACAGTATTTAATTATAATCGGTGATTTCGACCGCGGTTTCTTAATTAATACGTCGGAGGGTCTCTTCGATCGTGAGACGAAAATTTTCAATTTTCCACGGACTTCGAACCGACTCGGTGATACGATATAAAACATCGGAAGGTCATAGGTTAACGCGGAATGACCGTTTCGTGGAATTTGTCGACGCTTCCGCGGCAGCCAGTTCTATCTCGGCCGAGAATAATTGAGATTCACGTACGCTCTCGACGATTCTTCCATTCTTTTTGATACTCCTTTACGCCATACTCTCCCGTTCCCGGGAGTCGCTTTATTGAGCACCGAGGGAGATTCAATCATCTTTGCACCGCGGGTAAATGTTATTTGCATCGCCTCTGCTGTCACCTGTACGCAACTTCTTTTTTTTTTTTTTTTTTCAAAGAAACGAACGAATTGAATTTCCCTTAAAGTATAAGTTTCATACTCGAAAGATATTCTCCAGCGTCGTTTATACGTGATTTCTTGAAAGGGAAAGTAAATAAGTAAATAAGAACTCTTCCTACGTGAGTTTTCCACTCGTAAAGATATTACCTTCAAATTTTTCATTGTCTTTTTAGTGTAGGTCTTAAAAAATATTACCTACAAATTTTTGAGAATCGTCTATGCATGATTTTTCAGAATAATTAAAATATTATCTTCGAATTTTGCTTAAATTTCTGTCAACTTTTCAAGCAAGTAAATAAAATATATCGATCGATCGTGTAAAAATTTTTCCGTTTTTTTTAGATCATCTGAAACTTTTTTTGATAAATGTATTGTAACATTGAACTGTAGATATTTTTGTAACAGTGAATATTTCAATTCGATTATCGGTTTTGGGATATTTAAAATTTTAAAATCTGGCTAAAAATTCAAATTCTCGAACAATAAAATTTCATAAAATCAAAAATGTAGAAAATTGTAGTGGAGAATATTGAATTTATCTTCCATCACCTCAAAACCTAAATTTTCCAATTTTATCATATTTAATTCCTTCTAGAAAAAGATCTTCTGCACTTTCTAAATTCTAAAATTTTCTAAACATTCCAGTTCTAGGAATATTTTCAATCACTTCCGAAGGAATCTAATCTTCTAAATTTCTCGAATTCTCAAATTTCCTAAAACTTTATTAAATCCAAACTTGCGAACAGATTCTTTAATTTTCTAAATTTACCGAGTTATAAAATTTCCTATAACTTTATTAAGTCTTCTTCACTTTATGAATTTTAAAATTCTCTAAATCTTCCAATTCCTTCCGAAGGAATCTAATCTTTTAAATTTTCCAAGTTCTAGGATTTCCCAAAGCTTTACTAAGTCCTCTGCATTTTTTGAACTCCAAAATTCTCCAAATCTTCCGGTTTCGCCATTTTCGAATTTCTTTCCAAAAGAAACTAATCTTCTGAAATTTCTTGAATCTCTGACCTTCCTCCAGCATTTCCCAAGTGATGTAATTCTCTAAATCTTCCAGCATTATCATCTTCGGTCCCTGCCGAAGAAAACTAACGTCCTAAATCCTCCAAATTCTCCAAAGCTTTCTAAAACTTTAACCAAGTCACACACTCTACAATCGTAGGGAAAATTTAAAATTTTAAAATTCCACGTACAAAATTCGCTGAATCTTGCCATCTGATATTTTCTGTCCGCGTTCTGTCAAACAGGTATGAAAAAATACTTCACGGACGTGTCGTGAAAACGACGGATAGACAACATGCAAGTTGGGATGCAGTGTTGCGGGATAGATTCCGCCGACGATTGGCACAAGACGTATTGGCTGCAACGGGAGTTTCTTGTGCTTGACTCGCCAGATATCTTGAGGTAATTATCAGTTAATTATGCCGGGACAATCGCGGGGAGGTGTGGGGGGGATGATATCGTGGCACGTATCGACCGGGTGCACCGTAAAATCTATATCCCATTCGCGTTTATCGGTCGTTATCTTCCCATTTGTCCTCCATCAAGGTTCATGGACAATGCGAACTTTATCGTCTCACGATAGTCGCGTTACTTCCGAGGAGGTGATCGTGCCTTAACCCAAGTGGAACATCTTCGCAATAAAGTAGAAGTAGTTCAAAATTTTATCGTGCCTATTAAATCGTTACTGTAACGACACATTACGGTTATAACCACAAATTCTGGTAATTTAATTTTCTTCGAAGAAAAAAAAAAGAAAAAAGAAAGATCATTACACGGAACATTGTATTTATTATTTATAATTATCATTGGAAGTTTAATTTTCTACGAATGGTACAATGGTTGCTGTTCGACGAAAATTTTTAGTACTTTCGTCGATGTTAACTCGATAACTGTACAAATAGAACATCACTTTGAACAACATTTCGCGTATTTTGTTTCGTGTATTTTTTCCTCGTCATTTAAGTTTATAACGGAATTATGAAATAACAAACTGGAAAACAGCCGTGCGTGAAAAAGTAACGAGTTCATCTCTGGAATACTGATTCGATCATTCGTTCTTTTAAGAAAGAGAATTAAAGAGATGATATGAAATTCGGATCGTGTTATATATAACAGAAGAAAAAAAGAAACTTCGATCGTTCGGCTAATAACGAAAGAATCCGAATGGGGGGGGGGGGGCGTCTCACATTGTACAAAACTATGAATAGAATATGAACCCTTCAACTTTAACCTCAATTGTAGGCAGATACAGTGGGGCATTACTATTCTATGAATATAAAATAGAACGGCCAGAAATCACGCGATTCGAACTCATTCGAATTCGACAAATCACGACTGCTACGTCGGTGATAATATTTCTTTCTTTCTTTCTTTCTTTCTTTCTTTTTTTTTTCCACGAGCCTCAAAACGCAATAACAACTACACGTAATGCGCGAGGGCGTCTCTGTCCACCGGCTGCGAGGAACAAATTTTCCAGGAACTTTAATGGAAGCGTAGAAAGTATGCCAGGATTTTAATTACGACTATACGCGCGTTCCCGCCGCGTGGAAACGAAATTTTAACTGGAGGTGATCCCGTCAACGATACGATTTTAAGCGGGGGGCTATCCGCTATTCTGCAAAGCTCGTATATTGTTCGAAAAAGAAAAAAAAAAAAAAAGTAGACGACGTTCGCAAAAAGCGATTGTACACACCTAGTTTTCAAAATTCAATTTTCGAAGATCAGTCACAGAAAGCTAAGATAGAATTAGAAATAAAATTGCTACTGCTTACTCTGCGTGTTTATCTTAATACGGTAGAGTTGAAAACGAAACGTACATAGATGATGGAGCTGAGCATAAGGTGGAATAAAGCATGCTCCTTTAACTAGAAATTTCAATTTAAAATTTGAAAACGTAAAGAGGGAACGAGGTTTATTTAATTTCACGCTGGAAATACAGTAATTGTTGTTGTAGGTCAATGTATCAACTGACGTACCTCCCCTTTCTATTTCACTAGCACTTTGTATTTCTCACACCGGCCCGGATGGATAACATTTCCGCTGTTATTTCATCCTTGATATTCTTCCTGCTTGAGGCATCATTGATATTTCTGTTGTAAATGTTTTTAACACCGAGTACGGGTAATTTATATTAAATTATCTATTCTTTAATGTAACTAATAATTGACGATAGGAAAATATTGACTCGCCTTTTTTATTTCACTGTCATAATCCTGTCTAGAAGTATTTCAGTATTGCATTTTGTATATTTCTCATTCTAACGGAATAAATAACATTCCGCTGTTATTTCACTTTCGATAATCCTTGGTATATCGAATTTCTATTAAATTACCCGTTCTTTAACTACAACTACAATAATTTAACTACACTAATTACTAATTACTACAATACTTTAACTACAATAATTATTTAACGAGTGATATTAACTCGTCAGCTACATTTTCTCCTTAATAATTTTTTAATTAATCTTCTCTCTTTCATTCACATTTTATATTTCTCACTTGATATCTAACAAATCTTAGAATCAAACACGTGATGCGATATTTTTATTATTATAAATCTTTTCGGCATCATTCGTGCACACGATTTGTATCAAGTTTCTTATTCTTTAGTGAAATCAATAATTGACGATGGAAAAAAAAACTATTTAACGAGCGGTACGCGTGTCTCGCCAGTTTGATATATCCTCCGTTTCCTCTTTAACACCCGATGCATCGAGAAGGTAAAAAAGGTGGAGAGGAAAGAAGGAAGGTGGAAGTTCCAAGGTTCAACGTTTCCACGCCCTGCGCGAGATGCTCCTTGGAAAAGGATTTAAAACACCGTTGGCTCTGCGGCAAAGTGCCCTTCCATGGCCAGATTATTTCCACGCCGTGGTGGGGCCCTTCACTTCCGGTCTGACCCATCTAACTCACCTTCTGTAAGGGCTCCTCCGCGTGTGCTTTTACCGGCCACACGTTACGCCCATGCGAAAGCATTCTCCATCTGGATTTAGAAATGGTCTAAAGCCGGTGAAATGTGGCTCGCTAATGCTTCTCGATCGCTTTTGATTCGTTTGTTTTGTTAAAACATGGATGTTGCGTGCCATGCGAAGGCATCTGTTTATGTGTGTTTCATGCGCGGTGAAAATTATTCTCTGTTTGGATGATTTTTGAGTTTGTCTTGGCACTGGAAATACCAGTCCTTGATACGTATCGAAATATTCTACGTCTATGTCAAAATGCAGTTTAGATGGTGGTAATTAAAATGAACGTATTTGTACAATTATTAAAATTAAATGATATTAATAATGGTAATGGACAATGATTAAATATAAATATGCATTAGATATCTTTCTAAAAGAAAATCAATATTAATTTCAATGAAAGTAGCCATGCAGTTCTTCAGCAAAAAAGAAAGGAAATCGCCAGAACTCTTTTGAACGATAATTCATCAATTGATATTAGTAAATTATGTAATTACAAATTGGAATAAATAATTAAAGTTGGAATAAATAATTAAATTGAACTTCTGTCATGTCAAGTTCCATTATCTTAACGCTATCGTAGTGTAAAACATTCGTTAAAAAATTTTATACAAAACAGCGCGTTTTCAGAGATCTCAATGATTTTTGTCATATGTACAAATGTATAAATGGAGGCTTATGTGATTTATTGTACCACGAAGCTTTTCCATTTTCTTTTTTTTTTTTTTTTCTTTTTTACCTTAATGTCCCTGATGGAAATTTTATGTTCCACTCGTCGTTAGTTCTACTCAACTCTCCGAAATGCTACATTGCTCAAACCGACTTCCCAACGAAAAGAAAAAAAAAAAGAAGAAAATAAAGAGAAGAAAAACAATTAAAAATTCCGAAACTCCCGGCTCTCAGAAAAAAGAAAGAAAAATCCGGAATCCGCAGTCTCGCGATTCTAATAAATTTTCGACAGTTTGGCAAACTACATTCTGGATTGTTGGCGCGAATAGCGGTGGCCGCTTGATACCTGGAATTGTTGAGGTCAGGCGAATTTTCTGGGCTGCGTGGGGAACCGGAAGTAACCGGACGGCGAAACATTTGAATGAAACAATCCATCGCCGTCCGTGCGAGTTCGCGTTGCTTAGAGTAGTTTCGCGGTAATTGCCTAATAGTTAGGTTCCTGTAGGCTGACGTATGTGTGCATTATGTGGTAGCGGTAATACGTTCGATAATAAAGGGTTAATAGCGCGTTCCGAACAGAAGCCTTTGTGTCGCGGCTGGTAATCGCAGATAGAACAGTGGGTTATCGATTTCTCGTTATGTTAATTGCAGAATTATACCTTCCACGAGGATCGATCCCCTTCCCGGGACCCTCCTCGTCGCCGCAACGATTCCCTAAACGTCAACCAACCACCTCTTCCCCCCTCCTCCCAACCCCTTCTCGTAAAATCCATCGAGTTTATATCATGGCACGCGACAAAATGGCCGATTACTTCGATAAGATGTAATCCGACGTTGCAGCTTACGTTTTAATCGTAAGAACCATGTTAAGAACCATTGATAGCTAAATATCAATACGAAGGTTCCTGCGATTATTCGTTATTAATTTTAACGAGATGTAATTAAAATTCTGGAATGTCTCTTTTACACCTTGGTCGCCTTAATATTACAAATTCTCGTGATTTGGATTCCTCGTTCGTGACATGGATTACGAGCCGAAGGCAACAATTGGGAAAGCTCAAATTTTACTTCCATTTTAGTTTCAATTGAGTGGAAGACTATAGATTTTACGAGTCTGGAAGACAAGTCAGTGTGGAAATTTTTATTTGTTTTGTTTTATTCGCTTTGTCAGACTGGTTGTTTTATTCGCGAGAGAAATTACATGGCAAACTGAAGTTTTATTATTATTGTATATATTTTTGTTCAATTTGAGTTGAAAAACTTTTCAAATGAATTGAGATAAATTTTAAATGTAGAAGTTTAATAATTAAGTCCGTTCGACTTTTAAAATCTGACACGATTTGAATTTAAACTGACGTAAGTCAGATCGGTCTCTGTCTCTAAAAGTATTTAAATTATTTATACGAAAGTGCTATAATTTATAAATTATTTATTTATAATCAATATATATATATATATGAAATTATTTTAACAGATTAATGTTTTAAATTTAGACTTTAAATTAAATTATACAAGATATAATAAATAATAATTTCTTTCATTTTAGATTTAATTTTCAGATCGAAGAAATCAACTTCGAACAATTAATCATTGAATATTGAAATCGTCGGTATCAGACTTCGGATATACACACGCGTGATGCTCGGCAGCTTTTAGCGGGATGTATAATTCAAGGAAGTAACTTTATCAGATGATCTTTCCCCAATTTCGCACCGCAAAATCCAAGCGCCGCCGCTCGGACGTCCATGAACCGATTCAAGCCGCAGATCGATGCCACCGCGTTTAATTACCCGAGCGTAGCCACACCGTATCGGACACGTGAAAGTCCTGCGGCCGATGGCCGCTTTTCGCTCGTGGAAACTTGCCACGAAAGCCACGGTCGAGATGGCGGCGGCGCCGGTCCGCGAGGACACGCGACACCGGCTCGTAGCTCATTCCCGGACTTTCGCAGACATGCTCGCGGACAAGTTCGAATTAGCAAGTTCAACAACTTGCGGAATGCCGATCGGTCGCTCGTTTAATATCGGCCATCGGCGTTCAACAGTGAACTTCCGGCGCGTGACGCGCCCATTGATCTTTCGGCTTCTCGCTGCAAACAGCTGGAAACATTGACGCACGTTCGATTTCGTCGAGAAATTTTTTTGAGTCGAGTGTTCAACGAATAAATAATTGTCAATGTACGCGTATAATTTTTTCAATAACAATAATAAGTAAAAGTCCTATCAACGTTGTTGCATGATAGAAAAAGCGAGAAGTTATTTAACTCGCAACGACTCGTTTCGTCGAATCGTTACTCCAGTTTTTGTCCCAAAATTGCAACATTTTCTCAGTTTCAAGTGTATTATACTGGTATATGACTAAGTATGTTACTTATCTTAATAATTTCTATCCAGTGATGTCGTACCAACGAGTTCAAAAGGAAAAGAAAGCGAAACGAATTACTGAATACAGTTCGGTCACTCGTTATGGTCGGCGAACCAGTGCTAAGGGTTAAAAAGCAGCTCGGTGCGACCTCGTCCATCTGTACCGATGTTTCGTGCAACATCATTCTTGGAAACACGTTTCCGAGGTAGCGTAACGATCCTTCCCAACGACACCGTAGAGACGAAGATAAGAAAGAGAAATGTAAAAGAGAGAGAGATAGAGTGATAGAGAGAGAGAAGGTGCATTGTACGTGAGGAAACGATTCGACACGTAGGAATCCTGTTTCAGGTACGCTAAGTTGGACGGTCGCGTGACACCGCCGGTGGTGCCGTGGAGTTGCTGCCGAATCGACGTAAAGGGCCCGTGCTATCACGATCCCCTTCAGCTGCCAAATCCGGAACAGAATTCCACTTACGAGAGCCTGAACCCTCGGGGCTGTCTCGCCGCCATGAAGACCGTGCTAAATGGGACGCTGTATTCCACCGCGGTGCTGATCGCGTTTCTGTTTGTGTTGCAGGTAAATCAATAATAACGCGCCCGGCCGGCGCAAACAATTGTTTAGCCGAATCGGGATAACCGGGGAGGATTAAGCGCGTTTCGCGATGCGCCCAATTTTGGGATCGGGTCGATTCGCATTCGGACAATGCGAAAGCAATTTTTCCCGGCGGGATTCTGCGGGAAATTGTGATTTTTTGCGAGATTCCCTTGAACGAGATTGCACGGAAGGAAAAAAAAATTTCTTTTTTTTTTTTTTTTTTTTTTTTGAACATCTAGAGAGATTTGAAATTTGAGAGAATTTGGTTAGAATAAAGAGTAACGGAATATTTGAATTTTTTTTATTAAAGAATGTATACATGGGATGAAATTGGACGAATATTTCGTCTGGCATCTTGCGAAATTATAAAAATTAACGGATTCGATGCTGGAAGAAAATTACATACGTTAAGAATTTTTCATGTTTGAACGAAATTCGCCGAAAATTGGGCGGATTTTTCTCTTTTCTTTCTCTTTTTTTATGATTCGAAATAGAAGAGAGATGTTTTGTCAAGAATTTGTCCACGTTGGATAAAGTTTGACGAAGTTGGACAAATTTTTTTTTCTCTTTTCCTTTTGTTTAAGATTCGGTATTAGAAGAGAGATGTTTCGTTAAGAATTTGTCGATGTTGAATGAACTTCAACGAAATCAAACGAATTTTTCTTCTGGAATCTTGCGAAATTATGGTCATTCGAATTTAAAGAATTTGTCCATGTTGAACGAAGTTTGACAAGTTTCTCTTTGAAAATTTGTTGAAATCATGATATTTGCGAAAACTCGGTATTAGAATGGTACGACATGACTCGGTATTTGAATTCCGCGGTAAGAATTTACATATGTTGAACGAAGTTGAACAAAGTTTGACAAGACCCGAAGATCTTGCGAAATAACATTATCTTCGAAAATCCAACTTTCGAATTTTATAGTTGAAATATTTCTAAACGTGAAATACATTTAAATATTTAAAAATACGTGATTTTTATTATCGAAAAGACTGTTTACAGTTTTACTCGATCACTTCGATCGGTTATTTGATTCGTCCTTTTAATACAATTTTTCAGAAATATTTACATCGAAGGCTATTTGATTCTCTGTTCCGCAATATCGAAAAAAAAAAATCCCCTAAAAAAAGAAAAAGCTACCGAAGAGATTAATCGGCCATAATTCGCAGATTTGCCGGAATACCTTTTTGACAGGTGTCCATGGTGAAAAATTACAACCATGTAGGTACCGGCAATTTCGTTGGTGGAGCTATTCGTGGCTCTAGAATAAACAGCACCGCGACAGTGGAGAGCTGAAAGCGCTCGTCGACGAGAGGCAGACTCGAATAGCGCTGGATTATCAGATTCGTTCAGAATTATTGATTGCCCGGGACGCGATGATACCGCGTGTCATCGAAGCCGCAAACGCGTAATATTTTAAGATGAAAGGCTGCTTTTCACGCCGAAATTCCAACGGTTGCACGCGGCCAATTCAACCTCGATTGTACTGGCCGGTGAAAAATCCTTTTGGCACGTCGTTTCCTGGGATTATACACGTGCTAATGTAATGTAAACGAACGTGAAAGCTCATCGAGACGAAAGAGAATGCAGCCTCTGATTGATTGACACTATTATGGAAAAATTTCATTTTAATAATTACAGTGCCGCATCGCGATTGAGAAATTATACTCAGTTCTACGTATTACGGATTACGCGGGCAATTAATTTCGATTGTAATGCATAAAACGCCATGTTACAAAGTTGAATTTATCGCTCAAAGTTCTTTTTAAGGACAGTTGATGTCTCCTTTTCAGGACGGACAATCAGGCAAATCGATTTCCATTTTATTTTCCTCGGATTGTATAGACGAACATTCTTCTCTTTATATTTAAATGTATAATTGCACATTGTCTCGGAGAACTAGCAATTTCTTCTTCTGTGTATATAATATTTAATAAATAGTTAATCTAGTGAATTTTTATTTTAATTTTTAATTTAGTTGAACGTACGAGAAAGACTCTTCTTGATACAAAAGTATAATATTGAAGTACAAGCGAACACTTGTAGGAAACATTTTACAGATACATCGTGTGTTATATATGTAAGATATTTAGACACTTCATTATCGCTATTGTTAGATTCGACCAGCATAAACATGTTTAGTCAAGTTTGAAGCAAGTATATATTCCGCAAAAAATTACAAAAATATTCAAACAATCACAATTGTCACATCCTTGACAATCACCGGGATCATCTTTGATACTTATTATACTTTTAGGATCATTACCTACTCGATACATTAATTCTTGATTAAATACATATATCTTCAAGAATATAAATTGACTCCATCGATATACTAATTATTTTATCGTATAAATATTATACTGTGCTATAATGAATGTACTAATAATTTAATTTCACCAATATACTGATTACAGTCGTCTATACAATGTTAATGAAACTATTTGACGCTTGATGTTCAAAACATCTTCGTGAGCCACCGTAAATAAGTATGATAACGCACTAGAATTCTTTGAAAATTTTCATTATAAAATAACCAACTGTAAAATATAAGCGAAACAGTCACAGTTCAGCAATAAAGACTCGCGGATATTAAATTTCGATCGAAAATAATACACCAAATACGTACACACGTATGTTGGTGAATGGTGGCTCGCGTGGTTGAAGTACGTTTCGTTCTCTCTTCAATTTAATTCCGTTTCCGACATTCTTCGAGCAAGCCACTCGAGCTGGCCGTGCCTTGATATCGTTAAGCCGACGAATAGTCGCGGTTAATTAAACCGAACCGCTCGTCCCATTCACTCGTAAGTTTTTCCTTCATCGACCGATAAATTAATCCGTTTAATCTGCACCCCATTCGTGCGTTCTCGTTCCTCTTTGTCTCGTTTCCGGTGTCCGATCCGTTTCGCTCTGCGAATTATCTGCACGACATATTCTTCAGAAAATAGCACATATTCCTATGGAATAATGTCGTTTTCCAATTTTAATGTCTTTTTCTTTTCCTTTTCTTCTCGATTATTGTCGTTTTTAAGATTATCACATCCCGAAAACGTTTCGCGTTGTTTCACATCGTGTCGTATCGTTTTCGATTGCTCATTAACAATTAATTATTCCAGCGGCGCGCGCACTTACTAAATCTGAATTTCGGGTAATTTGGTTATTAATTTGAAGTTAATGGTACAGATTTTAGGCAATCATGCTCGCTGAGCCGGTTATTAATATGAAAGCGGTTGTAATACATAGTAAATAGGATTTGTACCGCTGCAACCAACCGTTACTGAATTATACTAGTCACGTTCTCGTTATAAATGTGACTGTGTATCGTCTAGAAATTTTCCACTAATCTAGTTAGACGTTTTATCGAGAAGTTTCTCAGAGCGAAAAGTAAAACGGAAATTTCTCTCTCAAATTCCATCTGTTCTATTCTGCAGAACACGCGGCGATTCTAAATTTCGCAATCTTTTGTTCCACACTTTGTTTAATTTTTCGAAATTCCCATTTTAAATTTTAATTTTCGGGCTTGATAGAAGATCGGAATTTCTGAATCCAGAAACACTCTCATTTCGCAAGTAAATTTTTCCAACAGTCCAATAGCGACAAAAGTTTTTTAAGTAGAAATTAAAACCAAGGGTGCAGAATTAGGAGTGTTACAAGTGTTACAGAAATCTCACAAAAGTTGATTTTGATAGAGGTTTTCCCAATTTTGACCATTTTTGTTACCATTTCTTTAATAAGAGATTCATTTTATCACGAAAACAAGGAATCAGTTCAAGAGACGAGATCGAAGATGTCATATAGTTCTTGCTACTTTAAAAAGAGAAAAAAGGAAGCGTCGCATTGAAAAAAGAATTGAACAAGCCAGCGAAATAGCCAAAATTAGGAAGACCAAGCTAAACTAGAAATTTACCGAGAATAATTAACCCGAATTAAAAGCTCCGGAATTCAGTAATATAAAAAGCTAAATCTCAGTGTCCAATAGTGTCAAGTTAGATGTTTAGATTAATAAAACGAAGTCTAAACTAAATTAATTGAAAATTAACAAATATCAAGACGCCTCGAAGATCTGATTCACATTCTTTTCCAACGAAACGACAATTCTCTGTCTTATTACAAGTAACAGCAAAGACACCATGAAACGAAAAAAAAAACAAATTTACACAACGAGGGGGGAAATATAATAGTTCGCGCTTCTGGCAGTACGAACACGTCGCTAACCAAAGGAAATTCTTCTGCAGGTGTTGGTGAGCGTGTTGTCGAGATTCGACTTTACTGCCGCGAGAAACGCGGTGGCACTTGGAGATCGGTGGGCAGCTTCGCCCGGTTGGCTCTTTGGCCGCCTAGATTTTGGCTTAGCCAGCGGACCTAATCTCTGCCAGATCGATCGGGTTAGTGAACCGACTGAATTGAATCAATCGACTCGCCGAACGAACCACGAACGAATCGTCCAACGGCCGACGTTATTCCTGGACGTGTGAAAGATCGGTGCCGATCGGATGAATGAAGAAAATTTTATTCCCGATGATCAGGCCTTCGGATTGGTTGGGGAAAATCCAATCGGTTTGTATGTCAGGGTTGGACATGCAGTTTTCAGGCAGGTATGGGTGATTGCTTGGCAGCAATTATGAAGATACAGTTTTCACTTTTAACTCGTCAAGGTAATTTACAATTCGATACGATCGTCAGCTCTGCCAATGAAACATATATATATATGTTGATGTAATTTTGTAAAAAAAGATCGTAGAACGATACCTTTGGTCTCGTTCTAAATCGTCAAATCTCTATGAGTTCGAATTTTTTTTTTTGAAGTTGACTTTATATCTCGTGTAAAGTGGGCGTTTTTCTCAAAAATTGTAAAAATTCAAACGTGTGAAAAGACATAAAAAAATTCCTTTTTTTCTGTAATTAGATCCACCATCATTTCGAAGATTGAAATTTCCCCTTAAAACTCGATTTTCAACATTTTATCAAACGTTGAATATTAGGATTTAACGACAAAAATTTGAGAGATTAACATTTTGTTCATTTAATTCCAAGTGTTCCAAGTTCGATCAAATGACGAAAGAAAGTTGTGCAACTAGTTTTTAGGACTCGTCATAAAGAGAGAATTTAATCTACAACATTGTAGTAGACTTAATGATAAAGAGTTTAAGGTTTAATTCTTCTTAAAGAAAAGAGAGAAAACAAATGGACTGTTCACGATCTTTTTCACAAAGTTACATCACTTTAAATTGTCGACAATTTCTTGACAAATTCTTATTAGAAGAAAAGAGAAGATAAAATGTGGGTAGGTGATATTCCAAGAAGATTCAAAGATTGTTTTTCAACAAAGCGGATGCAAATACAATGAAGATGAATAACTATTTACGTGCGTGACGTACGAACACAGCTAAATTCAATCCGAGGGTTATTTATTCTACGACCATAGCAGACACTTTGCGTCTTCTTAAATTAAATGAAACGCCAACACCGATAAAAATCAAAATTTTACACGAGCCACTTGATACGCGTACCAAAATCCCAAAACGAGTTCCGAAAGTTCGCCTGACAAACTGCCCTCTTACGTTTAACGTTTTAACGATCCGTTCGCATGTTTTTAACATCTCGCGGAGAGTTTCATCCGAGCACGCTCGTCGCCGCTGGCTCGTTTTTCGCCGGAGAGTTGCTAATTCTCAAACCGTACATGTGTAGAACCGAGCAACTTGCTCTGCCAGGTGAAAAGAGTTAAAGGGAAGCTACTGTAACTTTCTAACTTCGCGAGAAATATCTGCAGAATGAAGTTTGCACCTCTGCATCTTTCTCTCTCTCTCTCCTCTCTTTCTGCAGGCGTTGCCTCTAGTGCGCGTGGTTGTCGACGGAACGCTTTGCTCAAGCGGCGCCGTTGCTGGCATTATTTGTTTAATTTTCTAATTTCTTCGAGTTGGAATGGCGGCGCACACGCGCCACGAAAGAAACAGAAATACGCTCATCCTCGTCGGACTTTTATCAGGCGGCTGCATGATGAAGGAAAGTTTAAAAACTTTCCTATTGCTACGAGTGTTGCTTCCTCTCTGCTGTTTCTTCGTTGAAATTCTATCTTTTGACGTAGATAAATTGCTGCTCGCAGAAAAATTATCATATACATACGTTACACGATACGGGTACTTTTTCCATTTTATGTGCACTCGAAATATACACATCGGTTTTAATCGGCTAGATCTTTTTATAGTACATGTATGTTTGTGCTGCCTATTAGTATTAATGGCTTCATTTCAATACACAATACACATCCTGCATATATTTAATACGGAAATCCTCTAATCTTGAATTTGAAGTTAACACATCAATTATGCATCTATGTAATTACGATACAATTATTATAACACAGTCGTAATAATAGAATTATCGATTAATGATAACAGAATTATCAGTCATCACAATTACAATATCAAATAGGGATGAATAATTTAATATTTCATAGAGAAAACGAAAATTAAATTATTCGAACGTCCATATATATATATATATATATATTTGCGCTCGTAACTTCAGTTTTACGAGAGTGAGCTGAGAAGTTTTGCCCTTATTTGAATAAAAACTGAATGGGAAGTTATATCCTTGTGGAACAACGATAAAAAGAAACTTTCGTTCTTTGGTTTTAAAAGTTAAACAGTTTATTCTTTCGCGTAATCGTTGCTTACTGTAACACATTTCGCAAGAGTTTTCGTAATCCGTTCATAAAAAAAAAAGTCAACGTCTTCGTTTCTTCATCTGTTTCCAAAATTTAAGGACCGAAATTTCACCTGTAACGAAGAAACGAAGTTTCTAACTTGAATAAATAACTGCGAGGAAAGAACTTTCTTACGAACGAATTACATAAACTAGTGCAACGTTGACGGGGATGTGTTGCAGCAGGAAGAATAAGTATAGAATTTTAAAAATAAAGAACAAGGATTTATTTTCATGCTTGTTTCACGAAGATATTTTTTACATATTATATATAAAATTAAATATAATAAAATTTTTATATATTATTAATTTATATATCTTTCATTTCAAACGAAAGAGAAATTTTTTTCAGCCTACTCTCGTGCATAGAAGCAAAGTAAAGATTGCTTTGCCATTGTTGGCATACTTTACTGGAACAATAATGATTCTCTATTGGAACAATTCAATTACTTCGTTCTTAACTCCCTACTTATTTGTTCCCCTATCTACCGGAGCCTAAACGTTAGTCATTCCGTCTAAATAAATTCCAGTTATTACGCCTAATCCGCCAATTTGCTTTCCGATCTCCCAACAGAAAACCAGCGGACGAGGCGATTCGATGATCGATCTACGCCCGCTTGTATATTCCAGCGACACGGACTGAAAAGCAAAGGAAAAGCCAGAAAACAAGGCCGAATCTCCCCGAAAGAAGAGTCATATTTCCACGTCAGGTGTCTCCTCCGCGAATCCGACAAAAATTCCCCCTCAATTTTCCGACTCAATTATCTTTTGATGAAGATACATGTAAAAAAACCTGCCTTGACTTTCAAGGTCAAAAGATTTTTTTTTCCCTGCATTGCATTCTACTCATTGCGAAGGTAAAAATTTTTCAAGGAATCATAGGTTGTAACCTAACAGTTTTCTTGAAAGAAGTCTTCTTAATCATTTACCACTGCGGACGCGTGCGTTCTAACAGCGACTTTATGATTCTGAAACACGTGTACGGATGTATTGTTTATATTTTAAATAATGTTAACAGTTAATTTTATTATTTGATTATTTAAGCTCACACTGACGCCACAACTATGATAAATCAAATGTTAGTGAAACCTAGTACGAAAATTACGTAAAATAGACATCCACGGGTCCAAAACCATAAAGTCGCTGTTAGGACGCGCGCGTTAAATGATTAATACACTTTTTTGCCATTTTCCAAGAAAACTATCAGGCTGCGACCTATGGTTCCTTGAAAAAGTTCTATCTTCGTGATAAATAGAACACAATGCAACCAAAAAAAAAAAAAATTCTTTTTAACTTTGAGATTCAAGGCCAAGGTCAAGGTCAATTTTGCGGCAAGTTCTTTGCACGTATCTCCACCCTTCAATCTAGGGTGTAGAATTCATCTATGATTGCCACGGACAAACTTTCCTTTCCACCCTGTACGATACAGTTCCGCGTGTAGGCATCGATCAAGTTCAGCGCGTAGTTCGTCTCGTATAGATCCTCAAGGATCCTCGGTCTCCCCGAGCTTTTATCGAAATGAGAAGCCATCGTCGAACGACAGAGACGCGTTTAACGAAGGAATCCGCGCGGGGGGGGGGAGGATTAATCGATGATCGATTACGATACACTGGCGGGAACATCGTCTCGGACAGGGACGGACGATAAAGAACGGCGGCCAGTGGGATGGACGACAAGATAACTCGAAGCTGGCGGAGTTTCTTTCTCGCGGGAGCACGTCGCCAAGATTCGACCGATAGCTTTCACCATGATTACTGGGAATCGGTTAATCGAGTCGCGCCGCGAGATCGCTCGTTCCTCCCCCTAGCCGTATCGAGTTGAACGATCGATCGGTCCGAACAAAAGAAACGAAACGGATGGCGAGATAGCGCCGAAGGCTTCGAAAAAATTGACCACGGGGGACCGCGACGATGATAAAAAGCCGCGTTCCTCGGCCGGAGGAGTGGCTCGATGCGATGGATAAAGGAAGAAACTGAAGAACAGGTGTAATTACAGCAGTAGAATAGGTGGATGCCGATGGTTAAAATTGGAATGGAGATACGTTGTGTATTTTCTTTTTTTTTTTTTTTTTCCGACGACTGATAAAGTGTGAAGGTTTGCTGAGATATAGAGAGAGAAATATATACTTGGAATTGTTTCGGATGGAAAACTGGAATCATGGTAGAACTTTTTATACGAATTTGAGTATTTATTAACATTCGAATTAGCTTCTACACTTATTTTTCGCTTTCTTTACTATCGTATTAATGTGTATTTGTGGTGATTCAACAATTCTCTCATCAAGTTGATAATTGCTTTTTAATTTGTATATGTATAGTTACTATCATATTTTGTGTATTTTTATTATTATTTCATATTTTTTTACACGAATTATATTTTTGTATGTGTAATAATTCGTACAAATTGCGTGTTTTTAACAGGTACATACATGTTCACAGGAGTTTATAAACTACAAGAAATATTCTGAGTTTATTTTTTGAAGTGTAAAACACAGTACTAAATATTCAATTTTAATTCAACAATATCTTAAAATCACTTAATGACTCGATTAAATTAACCTTCAAATTAAATTATTACTTACTAATCTTATTAAATTAATCTAAAGAAAAAAGACTAAATTAGATACTAAATTAAAGTAGATAATAACTTAAATATACTAATAATTACTAAATTAAATAATACTGCAATGATACTACAAAAATGTATAGAAAGTATTCAACAAAATCTGTAAGAGATATCCGCAAGGAAACGTGGAGGGAAAATATGAGACGCTAAAAGGCGTGGAGAAATGGCGAAAGTTCTGCAGGAAACGGACGAAACAGTTTGACTGAAGCATCTGGTAAAGAAAATTCGAGGATCTGGCTTTTAGTTTCTCAAGGCTGACAGTAGGGGGTCGAAGAAAAACGTCTCCTCGCCCTCGTCACGTTCACGGAGAACGCGAGAGATTTCTTCGCTCGCGCGGAGAGATCACGGAGATCCGAGACGACGAGCGAGGAGAGGCCGATTTCCAGCAGAAAAAATAATTGCGCGCTCGTTCCAATGACGCGGACTCGATGTATGTAAACTGCCAACCTAAACGTTTGCCAAAAACGACGAAAGCAAACAAGGATCAAGAACGGTGAAATTTCTAAGGATTCACGCGTTGCGGTTCTTTGATCGCGGACGAACCGCGTTCTATTGCTCGTGTGTAACGTGAATCGAAGCTTTCTTGCGCGTGAAATTGTTGGCAAATCAACCGAATAACTCGTTGACAACTAGAAACGAGTCGAAATTCTATGCTAAACCAACAGCAATTTAGCTTAAGTCCAAAATTGTAATGGAAAACGCTTTGAGTCATTGAGACAAAAGTTCTGCGATAGTCCTCTCTCCATTTTATATTAAGTGTATAGATGTATTAGGACTGCATTCAATCTCAACGAGGGAGAGATTTTTGTCATATCTGAGAGGAGTTTGTAGTCTTCCGAAGCTAATTGTTGTATCTGGAATTGTAGATCTAAGAACGTCTCTAATAAATATATATTAAATTATTTATTGTAAATATATATATATATATCTGTCGAGTATCGAGAAACTTGCAAAAATCGGGGATTTTAATTCGTTAACTTTCTATGAGTAGAATTTCGTAAGATGAGAAAAATATTATTAAATAATTGTAGTTATTCATTCGAATTAAAAATTATCTAGTGATTAGAATATTCAAAATATATAGAACTAATAGTTTAAAGTAAGATAAATATGCAGTAAGAATCAAATGTTACAATGTAATATATTTTAATACAATACAAAACTTACATGGCTGTCTACGCGTTAACGAGTTAACACTGGTTTACCATAACGTTGTAAATACAATAATTTCTTTAAATTTTGTAAAACTGTGAAATCTTGGTAAAAAATACGAAGTCAATCTTCGAAATTTTCTTTCATCACAATGTTAGAATAGTGTAAATCCATTGAAGAAAATTGTGAGTGAAATTTCACGTTAAAATTAACGTTGATTTTTAATAAATTAAAAAAAAATTTGTTTAAATACAACATATGCCAGAAATTTTTTATAAACATCTTATGCGTGTTTCACAAAAAATTATGAAATATTTTATTAATATTCCAACGAGGCTTTATCATCGCGATCATATCGTTGAAGTTCCTTTGTCATTTTCACGTCGATAGAGTGTTTTATCATTCAAATTTACTTAAAATCCCCTAACTGTGCTGAATTGTGTTTCATTCTGCTTGAGAGATTAAAATGGCGAATCGAGATTCGCAAACAGTGCTTTTTACGAAGGATTCAAAGATCCACCGTCCACTTTGACACTGTCTAATTTACGAGGAATAAACAAAATTTGAATAACTCATTACACCGGCTTTCTGTTCCATCATTTTCATCCGCGACGATTCTCGACGTACATCAATATTCATGATTCCATCAGAGTAGCTTCAATGGCCGACTCCAAAGCACTTCTGAATCATCATATTCTCCGACGAAAAATAAAGAAAAAAAAAAAGAGAGAAGAAAAAATTGACAAGAAAAACGACGAATGTTTCCGCCGGAGGTTTCTTTCATCTACCGTATTAAAACTTCATTTCTATACGACACACCTGCCTGGAAATTTGAAACTTACTTCACAAGAACCAAGCATTCCCTTTTTTAAAAAAGTATAAAATAGAGTTCTGACGGAGGCGAGCAAAAATGAAGTAGTTATCTATGTATACGAAATGTAAATTACAGTTGAACGTGTCATGTAAAGCATTTTTAAGTTAGTACATTTTCGTTAGCATTGTAACGAAACTGTCGTGATTATAATGGTCAAAGAAACTAATTTGAAGATGTATATTAGAATTGCAAACTACGTGCATTTATTTGCAGACGTAGATATGATTAAAAAAAAAAGTAAGTACTGAGTATAGTCCCACTGAATATTGAGGTTTATTAACATAATTAATTATTGACTGTTCAAATGTATCACTTTTGTGATATGTATGAAATATACTTATCTGCGAATCAACTACGTCCATTTCAAATATTAATTGTTTCTGGAAAAAGTTACGAAAAGATTTTGTTAACAAAAGTTATTCAATATAAAAGCGGTTATGATGTAGCAGTAATGATTCTTTCGAAAGTGGAGCGAGAATTTCAAGATTGTCTCCACTTTTTTAAAGAATCATATATCTTTTGGTCTCTTAATCGATCATTCGACATTTTCTGTAAGAATGCATTAACCTATGTTTGTCGAAAAACCATTAATTTAATTTAATATATTTTAATCGTAATTTTATAAAATCTGTCGCATGAGAAAGAGAGGAAAAGACAGGAGCCAGTATTCATGCATAAATATCATAAAATTAAAGTTAAATCCACTATTCACTATATATAAACATCTCATAATTTCCACATGTATATTTTTTGAAATTTTTTTGACAGCCTACCAATATAACATGACAGTTAATTTTCACTAAAATGTGTCGTAATATATTATACATATCGTACATAATATAATATAATAAACATAACAAAGTATAATATACATAAAATACCACAAAACATATGTATATATATATAAAGTATAATACCACAATGTATATATAAAGCAAAATACCACAAAATATATATAAATAAAGTATAATATACATAAAATACCACAAAATATCCTGCAGATGTTCGAATATTTTCGTGAGTCCGGGTTTTATTGGATTAAAAAATTCATACTTACGAAATTTGTTGCTTCAGTGTCAATTTCGTCCGAAGCCGACGAACACCCTAA